TTTACAGATTTCTTCTTTAAAAAATCTTTTTGAGGAAAAAAAACTAAATTTTAAAGCACGTGTTATCTTTTTGTTCTTTAAAGATATGTTTTGGGGGGTGTAAAAATGTTGTTGTCTGATTGGTCAGAAAAATAATAACTTGTACTAAATGTACATTTATAGCAACTTTCGGTTATCGTTCTTGACTTCCATACTTGGAAATCGTCCAGACCTGCTATACCACTTCATACAGTACAAGTAAAATTCATGCAGAACATCAAATCGGCCGCAAACAATATTTAGCATTTAAGAATTTTCATTCACAATTTTAAAAGTGTCCATGCTAGGAAAGCACGTCAAGATAATGCTAATCACATTGAACAATATGAAAAATGGTTACACAGAGAGAGGCCAATATTGCCTCGGAAATTCAGAATAAAGCCGATTCGTGGAGAACCTGAGGAAGAAACAGCAATAAGGATAGAAGTAGCAAAACAACCGATTCATGGAGAAATTCAACTACTTCGACTAAGGTAAAAAATGAGCCACAGGAATGTAGCTGACTTCGACTCACAAATGGAAATAGGATAGACAAAATGGGCCTCCGGCAAAGTTATGTAGCTATCTGACTCTGAGAATGAAGAGCAAAAACCCGTCAATAGATGGCGTTATGCAGAAACTTGGCTACTTGACTATGAAAAAAACTACGTTGAGAAGAAACCATCAAAACAACCTCCTCCTGGAAAAAGCACAATCCCATCGTCAAAAGCTTAAACATATCCAGCAGCTGTTAAATCTACTGGACCAAATATACCAGGTTATATTCAAAACGCTCAGCGCCCCAATCGACCATTAATGAAAGTAAAAACTGGAAAAAGAAAAAAACTCTGCATTCGTAAAAAAAAAATAAATAAATCTGGGAAGCTCAGCTATCCGAGAAAAAACAACGAAGGAAATACCCAAAACCTTAACTACGGAGGAAACATTGGTATTAGTACAAACAATTACTACAGGCAATATCGTGATACATATACACTGTATAGGGAGAGGCAAAAAGAACCATTTTTATGGGGAGGCAAACCGAACCAGGGACAGAAATACAAACCCAAATGGTAAATAAGTGTTGAAAGTGAGAAAACATCTAAATCGACTAAAGAAAACAACCAAATAGAGCCTGAAATATTAAATTTATCCAACAGAGAACTGACAGAAACAGAGACAACATTATTGCTGAAGGGGTTATATGTAAAATATACGCCAACACCACAGGCTAATAATCAGGAATTGCAAACGGATGTCAAAGCATACACTAGACGTTTGAGATTGTCTGAATATTTCGATACGGAGGACGAGGACATATCAGACCAAGAAGAAAGTAATATCTTGTAAGAAATAAATCATCATTTAATCCGAAAAAAGGCAGTTATCGGACACTTAATGCTGTTTGTGAAACACTTGAAAATATTTCTTTCTTTAACTGTGAATTTTCAGCACATAAAGGCAAATCTCTCTTAAGAGGAAGAAAAAGCAATGAGAAATCTTTCAACGGATCCAAATATTGTGATCAAGGAGGTCGACAAAGGGGGTGCAGTTTTTATTATGAACAACAATTTTTAGAAGAATAAAATTATGGACATGTTGCAGTATAACAACTTTTATAGACAAATTAATTGAAACGATGATAAAAAAACCATGAAGAAAATAAAAAGTCTATATCATGGACCCCTTTGCCCAGACGTAACAGAAAAAGAGAAGAACTATTTTATTAATTTCGACTTCCGCGAAAGCAATTTTTTTCTAAAAAAGCATAAATCCGCTCTAATAAAAGAAACTATCAAAACTCAAAATAGGGAATACATTATCTGTCCAGATCCAGTAGACCTGATTTTCAGACCGATAGTTGGAGAACCTAATGCACCTACGTATACACAGAGACTCAGTCAATTACTGTATATTCTTTTGAAACGTCTCTGCAAAAAGGTAACTAGCTATGTTAGGGATGATCTCGATTTTCTAAACCACCTCCTCAGTAATGTCAACAAAGATTTAAAATTGGTTACCTCTGATGTTGTGAGCTTATACACAAATATACCGACATATTTAGGAATACAGGCTGTTAAGTTTTGGATGGAAAAATACCCGGATATAATCAACAGCAGATTTCAACATGATTTTATTTTGGAAGGATTGAAATAAGTTCTTAATAACAATACTTTTGCATTTGCCGAAAACCATTACATCCAAACCAAAGGCACGGCAATGGGTACCAAGGTAGCGCCAACATACGCAACCTTAACTGTAATGTTTCCAGATTTATTTTGGAACAGACATTCCGCCTCGAGAAGAGGGTAAAAAACATCAAGCAATTAAAAAAGAATCATAAACATTTGACATACATATCATCTAGATTTACTTAAAAACATAATAATTGACATTAACACTAATTTCTCGTACATGACTATGGACAAACAGACTGACGTTTATTAGAAATTATCCAGACATGTGAATTTAATTTTAAAAGTATCATTGGTATAAAACAATATGAATATGCTCTAAACATTATTTTTCTTGAAAATGTATGCATTTAAATAATCACTTACTCCTGTGAGGCTAGGAAAAGATCAGACACATGTTAAAATGCTGCAATATTGACCTGGGCGGAAACATAAACAAAACACATAGAAATCAAACCTGTACCGGGAAGTATTCCGGATTGGGAACTTTACACTAACTTTAGGCTACCTTGAAACGTTACTTAAAAGTGAACTTATTAAAGTTTGGGGAGAAAAAATTGCTGATTTGAAAGAAGCAAAGTGGAAAAGATTTTTGGACGATTGCTTCATTATTTGGCACGGCGATATGGAGAAATTACTAAACGGGCTAAAGTGGGTTAAACTCTAATATTCTATTCAATTTAGAGATAAATGATACCAAAATTACCATTTCTTGATGTTTCGGTGGAGAAAAAGAACACTAGAATAACTACTGATATATATTAAAAAGCCACCGATACACATCAGTATTTACACTTCGGCTCATGTCATCCAAACCATACTAAGAGAGCGATAGCATATAACCTGGCAAGAAAAGTGTCCACCATAGTAAGTGAGGAAAGCACAAAGAATTTACAACTAAAGAAATTAAAATTTTTCTTGTGAAACTTAAATACCCTATACGACTAGTGGATGATGGTAAAAAAAGGTTGTCTTATGAAAGAACACAACTACTTGCGACGGAAGGAAAAACAAATTATAGCTTTGTTCATACCCAAAATCAAAACCTAACAACAGTGGTAAAACAATTAAACAGGATACTAAAGGAGGATGAGGACACAAACGCAATTTACTGAAATGTTCAATTTATAAATAACAAACGCCAGGCTAAAAAATTAAAAAGAATTCTTTGTACATCCAGTTTCAAGGAAAAGAACTGTTCCGTAACAAAATGCAAAGACACAAGAAAGTAGCACTACATTTGATTTGCCATTGACCCCGTTATAAGTCGGTACATTTTATTTTGCCGAAATCGGGTGACAATTTCAAGTAAATCAATTGATGTTTTAACTTTGTTTTAAATAAATATTTTTTTTATCGAAAGAACACCGATATCTAATCTTAAATCTTAAAACAAATATGTAATTCACACTTAAGATACAATAAAAACTATGAAATTATGTAAATACTTTTACTTTATTTACAATCTAACAATTCATAAATTTTCTAATAAATTATAAGAATGTAATAAACAGAAAAAAATTGGTTTTAGTCGTAAGTTCTTTTGTAAAGTGGGCCCTTATTTTAAAAATCAAAACAAAATCAAAATCAAAATTATCATAGATTATTTCAAGAAAAAAATTAGAAAATATAAAATATCTTTGAGTTTAATATAAGTAAAGTACTGGCGTTTTTTTTTTCAATGGGTTTTCGATTTGTTTATAAAATAGCCAAGATGGTGGAGGGGGGGGGGGGGCAACAAATTAAATAAAGTATAATTGAAAGCTTATATTTAAGTTATAATACATTATATAGTCACATATTGCGAAATAGTCTTGATCATAAGTTTCTTCGAAGAGCACGACTTTTATTTCTTCCGAAGTTATTTAGTACATTCAATCCGAATGTACACGAAAGGAGACACTCAGGCACAAGCGTGGTATTTTTATTACACTTTTTGATACAGTAAACCTGCTACACTCAAATTCAAGGTCTTGAGCCGATGTCTCATGCAAAGGATGAAAACTTTCTTTTTTTCCGTCGAATATATATAAATATTTTTTTTTTCACATACTGCTTTCGACAAATTAAAATTCTAATATCCTTACCTTCAATTACATTTGTGATGTTACAAGAATTTCTTATGATGCAACTACAAACATACAGTACATGTCCAAGAATTAATTCGATATCGACGATATCGACAATATTATATCGTATCGGTATCGATCGTGATCAGCACTATTAACTGGAAATAAAACAGGAAGTATTGTACATGTATTAAACACAAGTGAATAGAGAAATATAATAGAGAACTATAACAAGTAATGTGTCGATATCGTAAAGTTCTACATCGTGTCTTGGACATAACTCAGTATAAAAGAAATATCAGAATCTTGAAAATATTATTTATTTGAATTCAGAAAAAGGTGATGGGGCAAAATTTACAGCTACAAAGGTATGTGTATTTTTCAGAGAACGGAAGATTTGGTTCTCGGAAAAGAGTGTTTTCTACGAACTGAAATCTGTAACAATAAATTACTTTAATTTTGTTATTCGTTAAAACGCGCACACAAAGGCTAGTGTGCTAACGAAATAAAGAGCCCCAAAGCCCTATGTATAAGATCATATCTGAGATATATACCCATCCTTAATAACCCTGAAAAATGCACAATGATATTTAAATGTCCAATAAAATAAACTTGTCTTTTAAACAAATATACCAAATGCTACCTTGCATTTGCTTGCAAAGCATGAGGCGTGTTACATGTAAGCGATGATTTCAGATTACCACTGGAAGAACAATTTTTTTTATAGATAATCAGACATTTACTGCCCAATATGAACAGTCCAGATGACCTTTCACAGTTAGCTGACCTTTCGGAGGACAACCTCACTAAAGTAGTCAAGACCAGATACGAAGAAGACAAAATATATGTAAGTAGTCGGTAATTATATTAATGATTGTTAATGATTCATAGCTCTACGATTACCTGTTTTTTGAGTTTGTATGTTTTGTTGTTTATCGTCCCTCTTGAGGATTTTTTCCCTTATATGGAGAGAATCCACTAGCGGTAGGAAAGTAACACATTTTTTACCTATACTCGCACTCATATATAGCAGTGAGGGATCTTTTCCTGACAACATTTACTGCGACACGGGATCTTTTTTCATCCAGTCCCAACTCAAGGACTGGTTTGCACGTCACGCATTTTGATTCGAGAAGGTGACGTAAGGAGCAACTCCTTACACCGCGACTTTTCAGGAAACACTCTAAAAACTGCGCTACGTGGTTGAGGGACAACTTCGGACATGAATATTATATGTACTGGACATTCCGTAATCAAGAAAGTTTTACTCTGGGCTATTCCGAGTTATTAAAACGTGTGTGTGTGTTTGCATGTTCGCGTTACAACTCTTCTTTGTTTTATGTGACTTGACCTGATTTTTTTCAATATACAAAATTATATATTTCACTGCTTGACTTTCGTTTAATAAATTTTCATTTAGACGTCTCCATATCAGTGAAATATTCTGGAGAGGGACCTTAAACAGTATACAATCAATCAATCATTACAAGTTAATTGTGGTAATGTTCTTGAAGATCTAAATACATATATCTCCTAACATAAAGGTGCAAGGGGTTCCGAGCCTCTCGCCTTAGAATTTTCAGAGTTGTTAAACTTCTACGTAAAGGAAATAAATCATGCCCCCCTCCCCAACACACACAAGGACACAAGGATATACGGAGCCTTAACAATGTAGGCTGTTTATCTGAAGAATAGGATTATGAAGTAACTTTTTTTAAATACATTTTTTCTTGCGCAATAAGGTTTTATAGTTCTTTTATTTAAGTAAAACATTTCCAACATATGTTTTTGAGTTTATTTGTTTTTTTCAAACCCACTTCCCGGGGAGGGAATCCCGAATTCGCGCATGATCAACCATAAATTGGGATTTAAATAATATTTTCCAAAAATCTCCTCTCAGCCATTCAATTTAGATCTGCAATAACCAAAAGAGCGCTAGGGTTTAATATTTGAAAGCCACAAAAGCCTTGATTCCGATTATCTTATCTATAGAATCTACAGGGTTTTTTAAATTCTTATTTTGAAGTAAAAAATAACTCCTGACAGACAACCTACCTTTCAAGAATTATAAAATGGCTACTGGAATTTAAAAAAAAAAACACAAAACCATCATATTGTGCCAGGCAAATACCATGAGTATCGATATCAAATTTGACACTCCTTTGGCATATATTTTAATGCATGGGCCCTGAGGTCTACGCAGACAATATGTAAGTGGAGGTAAACCGGATTCCATGGGCTTAATCCAGGCTACGCAGGCACGAGAATGCTAGATTGATTAATCGATTATATATTGTTTAACCTCCATCATAATTTTTTTTTTGAAATTTTTGAATTTTTCACTTATATGGGGACGCCACCACTTGCCGTTGGAGAGCAGTGAGGGATCTTTTTCGTGCCATCATTTACTGCGACACGAGACCTCGGTTTATACAGTCTCATCCAAAGAACAGATCTCCACATCCCAATGTGGGATTCGAAAACGCGACGTAAAGATTGACTCCTTAATAACTTCTGCGACTCTAGAGCAGACGCTTTAACCACTGCTCCACACGGGCTACTGAGAATGCTATAGAGTTCGCCCCTAAGGCAATTTGCCCTTTTTGGATTAGAATATGTCATACATTTGCACCCCCTCTAAGGTCTGCTCATCGTATTTATATATTCATTTGAGTATCCGAGATCTGAATTTCTATTTTATGCACATACACTTTTTAATTACACACTTAAGTAAATTAAAACAGGCCGGATTTTTTGCATATGCGATATGTCTGACATAACAATAGCCGTTTAAAACCTGCTGGGCTTCCAACGGGTCTGACAGGTGTAATCTATTTCTTTTCTTTTCCCTTTGCCGATCTGGAAGTTTCAAGGACAGAAGACTTGGCAAACCGAGGTTCACTTTTAAGAACATCCCTCATGTAGAATGAAGTAAAATGTGTTGCCTAATGAGCTGTCTGTAAAATTTCTTCTACTGTTGCTCCTTTGAAAAAGGCCAATGAAGTTGCCAGTCGTCTTGTGCACGTACGCTACATAAGGAATCAAATTTCCGCTCATACGCAAATTTGAAAAGAGATACAATCCATCTTGATATGGAACTCTTGGGTGCTGGTTTTTGTAGACCAGATTAGTAAGTTAAAAATAAACACTTTTCATTACCACAAGAAGTCTTTGTTCTTTCCAGATATATTCTTTATGTTCTATACGGATTTTCGGACCTGTGTCCCTTCAAAATGATTGACAGGAACTGATGATATGTTTTACGTCTAAATATCATCATCAATGTTTCTAAGTCATTTTTCTTTCTTTTTGTATTTTTAGACAAACGTTGGTGAAATTCTTCTTGCAGTTAATCCTTGCAAAGATCTTTTAATATACACAGAAAATGTAAGCTATGAAGAACTTTTTATGATCATTTTTTCCAAGAATTATGCTTTGCTTTCGAATTTAATTAAATATAAATATTACATTTAGACCAAGAAGCAATATGACTGGAGAAATTTCGAAGCAAAACCTCCTCCACATGTGTTCGACATTGCAACTAGAGCGTATCGACGCATGCGTCAGGCAGGAGGAAACCAGGTTATACTGGTGTGCGGCGAATCAGGTGCTGGAAAGACCGAGAGTGTAAAATACATGGTTGAACACCTTATGCACATGGTTGGTCATGGAACCGAAGACCTAAACGAAAGGATCGTTAAGGTATAATATCTGAAAGAAAAACAGTGAATTCTATAAATGAAATAGCAAATAATTATGGTAATATTGGCAATGCCAATGATTTTTTTTTTAATTTGGAGTTGGAGGGGGAGAGATTGGAGTTAATCAATGAAAGAGAGATAGGGAGAGAGAGAGTCTTTAAAAAATCAAGTATTTTTTAGAAACAATTTGATTAAAAATTTATTTCTTTTTGCTTTTAATTAATAAAAAACTCGAAATTTTATAGATTAACATCTTACTTGAGAGTTTTGGAAACGCCAGAACAAAGATGAATGTCAATTCTAGCAGGTTTGCCAAGTTTTTACAGTTGAGCTTTGGAGAAGACGACCGAGTAATAGGAGGTGAAAAGATTATGACAATATACTGTTATTTATTTATTATTTATTTATCTATCATCAATTTTCTTTCAAAACTTTTAAAACTTTGACTTAAAAAATGGAGATCATAGTTTTTTTTTTTATGAAAAGACTATCAAGGAATTTTCACAGTAAAGTAGACTTTACAGTTTTTTTCACTTATATTTAATCTGAAATTTTATAATCAAAGCATTCAAAAAATGCTACCTTGAAGTGTATGCAAAGTTCAGGGAAAACTGATACTCTTTTTTTTTCAATTTAAGCAAAGGTTCAGGATTACATGCTTGAAAAATGTCGAGTTGTATCCAGGACTTCTAATTGCCATGAAGGAAACTTCCACATCTTTTATGCCCTATTTGCTGGATTGTCCGAAAAGGAGAAACAAGACCTTTATCTACAGAAGCAAGAAACTTACGAGTTTGTTATACTTTTCTTTTTGCTGTTTGCTATATATAAAGAGGTGTATATAAATATTGCTTCACGTCAGCAAAGAAACATAGTAGTGTCCGAAAAATTCCCTGAAATGGTCTTACAAATATTCTTAATGAATTTCAATGGAGAAAATAAAATCGTGTTCTTGAGTCAGTATGTATTTATATTGATTAAAAGTTTCATTTAGAAAACAACTTAAGAATATGTGAACCTGACGATTTTATATTGATTAAAAGTTTCATTTAGAAAACAATTTAAGAATATGTGAACCTGACGATTTAAATCTTATCGTGCAACTCGATTTGCTAAAGATGGGTCAATGTCGTAATCATAATTAAAAGATATGAACTTGCTATAAAACTAGTTTAAAGATCGTAAACGCTGATTTCATAGTGAAATGAATCAAAATTTAATTAATATTGCATCGATTTTATAACATTTTGGCTTTTTGCGTATTCTACCGAGCCCACTTGCTACAAGTGCGAACCGGTAGAGCTTCAGTCTCGACAGAGACTTCTGGTTATTCTAACATGCGATATATTTAAAATTAACTGAACACATTTTAATTTGATTTTAAGCCATCGTAACAAATAAATGTGCTTTAAGAGTCAGTTTCTTTAAAAAGACAATTGTAAATTTATAACATTTTTAGCTCTACTGGTCAGAGACCAGAAGAGCTTATGCGATAGTAATGCGTCCGGCGTCTGTCTGTCTGTAAACAATTTTTCAAAATGCTACTCCTACAGTTTTGGTCTGATTTCTCATTATAACTTGGCACACAAGTAGACTACACTAAGATACATAATTCTGTGTATCGGTTTTTGATGTTGATGAACGGTGTTGCCGTGGTTACTAAAATAGAAATTTTTGTGAAATGCTTTCAAAATGCTACTCCTCCTTCAATTTTGGTCTGATTTAAAATTAACTTGGCACACAAGTAGACTACTCTAAGAACATAAAGAGACTTTATCAAGGATCATTATTCTATTTATTGCTATTGTAAAGTTTCAATTTCCAACTGCTTAAGTACTTTTTTCTTCCTTTGCTATAAGTACAAACCAGTAGAACTTCAGTCTCGACAGAGACTTCTGGTTGTAGGGAAGCTTGAGAAAATTAGGCAATTTTAATGAGGACAGAGGAAATTCAAACTATAGTAATGTGCTTAATGCATACTATAACCATGAAAAAAAATAGAATATAAGATTTATACACCAATGTTTTATAGTATGGAATCAAGTTATTTTAAACTGCATTTTATAAGTTTTTTTTTACTTTCTTTATTTCAGTTAAGATTTTTGAATTTAAAAATGGTCATTTCCAGGGCCTGTTAACATAGAAACCAACGTATGTGCATTTATCAAAACTCAGGCTGTCATTTTCAGGGCCTGTTAACACAGAAACCAACGTATGTGCATATATCAAAACTCAGGCTGTCGTTTTACAAGGAACTTGTCCTCTATCTGTTGATACCATAAAACTGTTGTTTTATAAGGAAATTGTCCTCTTTCTGTTGATACCATTTTTTTAAAATTACAATTTTGTCAGGGTCACATATCCTTAAGGAAAGGAAAACTATTTTAATATAGGATACCAGGTCTTCCAAAAATTTACCGGAATTCCGATGAGTCTGAATTATTATTATAAGCAGATCTATTTATGCATTCAAAATCTTATATATTATCTTATCTATATAGCTAGAAGAAGAAGAAAACGCTTGCTGTTATCTCCAACTCGACATATAGAAAAAATAGACACATTGTCAATTCACAATTGTCACTTCCATTCATAGGTCGACTCGATATATTACAGTGTGTTTGAAATTAAAGATAAAAAAAAAGTTTGACGCGGCTGTTTTCTGTTTGGACATTTTATTTAAAACGATCTTAATATTTACCTAAAAGCCAAGTTTTTTGATAAAAGTGAGAAGACTATGTTTGCTGTACTTGTGCTCCCGATCTGCATTCTTTGAATAGACATCTGAGTTTGAATACTGTTTGATAAAGTATTTCCATATTTCAAACTGAAATGGAGTTTCATATCTGAAGACTACTAATACGTTGTTTAAATAATTTAGTTTTTTATCATTCTAACTTATCTTTTGTGTATGTAACAGGATACTTCAAGGAAGTGCTGAAAATTTACAACATGAAAAGAAAGAGGAATATCGCAGCAGATTTAAATCAATTCAACAAATTTTATCACAAATCGAAATGACAGAAGAAGTAAGAAATTTATTTACAAATTCAAACTATAACATGAAATTCAACTAATTTCTGATATTCCATTAAATTAGTCTTAAAGTTTTGTAATCATCACCATACTAATCTCTAGGAACAAAAGATAATGAAAAAGATGCTAGCTGCCATGTTGCATTTGAGTGAAATCAAATTTGATGAAAAGGAAAGCAGTGTTAAAATAAAGTATGAGGAAACTCTAGAGCAAGGTACACTACATCCTGTTTCACATTTAAATCAGTGTAATATTCAGTTTTCAACAAATACAATACAAAGAGCTGTTCCCAGCATTTTGAGAAATATGTTCCAAAACATGACTTATTAAGCAGTATACATTGACTTTGACATAGTGAAAACTTTAGTCATCTATAATTATGAATCTTACATTTTGATTAACTATAGAGAAAACATTGATTAAGAAATGTAATTACTATAACACATAAGTAATCACTATGACAGAAAAGTAATCACACCGAAACAATCGTAGACGATTAAATTCACAGGATATTCAGATATTTTTAAAACAGAGGTATTTACATCATCACAAATGCATGTGGTTCAAAAGATTTATGATAACTAATGCATCGTTAACGATGTCAATTTAAAAATTATTTTTAGAAAAATAATTTCACTGACATTTCGAAGAAATTATATTGTCTTTTGCCAGAATTCAAGTATGATTTTGACATCGCATTTTTAAATGTTTGTACGTCATATTTACATTCCTAATAACATTACGCTACAGTCTCGAGAATCCTTGAACGCTCCGCCCACTGTTCATTTTGATTTGTCAAAATTAATAAAAAAATATTCAACAGGGAGTAGCCCAGGGTGTAGCTCTGATTTTTCAGGATGTAGTCCTCAGATGAGGGAAATAGTTTCTTGTCATAGAAAAAGACAGTTTTATGTTATTAATTTTATATAGAGCAACAAATTTGGTATAAAGGAAATCACTATGACACAAAGTAATCACTATGGCAAAATAGTAATCACTATAACACAATAGTAATCTTTATGACACAAACCGTTCACGGAAGCTCAGTCGGTAGAGCGCTCGCTCCGTGATCGGGAATTGGTGAGTTCCTATCTCGGCCGCGACTGACCTAGTCGTTAAAATGGTTAGCAACTGTTCCTTCGCCATGCGCTCGGCACTTTGAAGTGAAAGTTGCGGGTCCTTCGGATGAGACCTTAAAAACCAAGGCCCCGTGTCAGCTGCAGGCGTTGGCACGATAAAAATCCCTCACTGCTCAATGGCCTTGAGTGCAGAGTAAAGGTCAAAATTTGAAGCCCTTCACCGCCATACGGTGACGTCTCCATATGAGTGAAAAATTCTCGAGAGGGACGTTAAACAATATACAATCAATCAATCAATCTATGACACAATAGTAATCACTATGAGACAAAAGTAATCACTATGACACAATAGTGTATGAGCTACAATTTAGTTCTCCAAAACAAGCTGAAATGTAATTTGAAAATTGGATGTAAGAGAAAGATTTCCTGACTTCATTGGGCATAGAGTTCCAGAGGTTTCCTGCCTCAAATCTAAACGATTTCATCCCATACCTCGTTGTTCTTAGTCTTGGGGCCTCCGCAATTATTATATATCTTAAATTGTATGAATTATATTTAAAAACGGGATCTTGCAAAAATACAAAACATAAATCTTAGATAATTCCAAAAGTTTTTAGGGCAATGACACGAATTCTTCTGGATTTTAGAGATGGTAGTTCAGATTTATGTAAAAGACTTTCATAAGTACTTTTAAAACCTTCATAAATAAATTTTAAAGCTCTCTTCTGAATTTTCTTTATCTTACGAATGTTCTGTTCTGGACAAAAATGCAATGTTAAGGGGCAATAACTGAAATTTGAATTGATGAAAGAGTGATATATTGTAAGTTTTTCTAACAGAGTCACTAAAAATCAAACCAATGATCAAATATGAAATTAACCTATCTCTGTAGCTGCAGACTGAGTGGTATAACCAACATGTCTATTGTTTTCCGACAGTCTGCAACTACCCAAAAAACACACCCTATAAAAATCACAAATTCACAGATACATCTAAAGACACACAAACACAAGCTCAAGTCTCCAAGACACCATAGCTATCAAAAGGACACTGTACTTTCGGTTAGACACAAATTAAAATCACAGAGACACCATATAGCTAGTCACAAAGACACTAGGGAACCAGTGTAAATCAGTTATTACAAAACACCTCAAACATTATTCTATTGCCGCTTATAAGTAGGAGATAAAATATTTAACCTTTAACTTTTTTTAAACCTATTTAGCCTTTATTTTTCACAAAATTTGTTTGCATTTGTAAAAATATTTAAATGAACATTTTCGAAGTTTTTATTGATTTATTAATCCATAATATAGATAATTATACCTAAGGATCTTTTAAAAATGCTTTTATATAATGCAAATTTTTTTTAACTCTTGAACATGTTGAGTTCGGTAAGAAACTACTTTTTGATGAATTCTTCGCTCTGTTATTCGAAGATTTAAAGATTAAAATGATGATTGTTATTCAATTGATTAAAGATAAAACACAAAAAAAATATATAATCGAAATAAAAATGAAAAAATAGGTTCTTGTTCTTTTAAATATAATGTGGATATTAACGGTTTATGTGTCAAAAATTTATTGACAATCATTGCGAAACAGTTACGTTTACAAAATGAATTTTTAGTATATTATCTTCAGTTTCAATTCTTTTTACCCGGGGTATATCATAATGAGTATCAAAATAATTGTCCCTTTAGTAAGAATTATAATTTATAATTTTTCATATGCTTCGGTTAAATTCAAGTTTTGTAAAAATAATCATCAAAATCTATCCCTGTACGATGTGTATGTATAGTTTCCTGATAGTTGACCGGGGACTGGTCGACACAACAATTAAGGTCTATTGTCTGATTAGTCGATATAATGTACACTGTTAATCTGTTAAATCTTACGCCGCTTCCCAATGTGTAAAAATCTGGTCGGGTGTCATATTTAATCTGATCGACTGTTCTTCCGAAAATCGATCTTGAAATAACAATCATTGAACACTGACAATTACTGCTACATAATTAAAAAAATACTGACGTTTAACCACGAAATAATTCAAATTATTAAAGATGGAATAGTCAAATTTTGCCTATTGAACATTTTTATATAGGTGTCACTCCACCCGAAAAAAGAGACTACATTCCTATGAATTAAGCAGCGGAACGTTACTTCTACACATGAAAGAAAAATGCCTTATTTTCTTTAAAAAAAACCGCACATTGTAATACAGATTTTGTGTTTATGGATGAACATAATTTTTAGAACAAGTGTTCAAACAAATGATTTTTAGTAGTGAAAAAAATTAAGATATTTGCTTTTGTTCTCAGTGCCCGAATTTATGCATGTTGACAAAATTTCATTATTGAAACGACGATCGAGACAAAATAATATTATATATTGAATTATATTTAGTCTTAATATTGAGAAAAAACTTTAAACGTATCAAGAAAATTTAAATATTTGATATAGGATGCGCAAAGTTGGATTAATTAGGTTTGGCCATTAAGTCACCATTAAGCTTAGTATAAAGGTGGCTTTATGGTAGCTTAATGAAGTTTTGACATTAGGCACCTATTAGTTGCAGCTTAATAGTGGCTTAAAGGACTTAACTTTAATAAACCACCATTAAGTCCCAATTAAGCCACATGAAGCAAATGCATAAAGGTGGTCTTTTGTCATGTGAATTTTGATTCCATTTATATCAAAAACAATGTTTTTATTTTGTGTTTTGTTTCCAATAGAAAATGCCGGAAATTTTCAGGGTTGGCTTGTAGATTTTATTTAAAGAGAACCATCTAATGGGAGATCAACTGTCATGTTTTAAAGCTGCGACAACCTGTTCTAAAGATTTATCAGACCGTGACAAGGTGTTATTGTCTGCAGAATTGTAAAGATTACATTTATCAAATTAAGAACGAATCATTTTTAAATATGTTAAATGGAAGGGGACCAAGTATAGATCCTTGTGGGACACCTTTAATGATGTTTAACATGTCACTCACGTGATGCGTTAATTTGACACATTTTATTTTCTGCATGAAAGATAGCTATATAGCATTTATTGTGCTGTTTCAGATAGTCCATAGGCTTTAAGCTTCAAAAGGAGTAGTTCTTGCGGAAGACAATCAAAGACCTTTGACTTTGAAAGATCCATTAAAATAGCTGAAATGTATTTATTTTTAGCCATGGCATACTTCCAGTCTTCAATAACTCTTAATATAGTTGACTGACATCCGAAACCTGACCAAAAGGCTGACGAAAATGGATTAAAAATGTCATTAAAGAAGTTTGGTTTCCCAATCATAGTAATACATATTGCTTTTTAAATGATGTTTCTGGCATTATGCGTATCATATATTTCACATAGTACAGAGCTTTTATTTTTGTCAAGAATGTTGAAATTTAAATCACTCGCTATGATGTAGTTGTCATATCTACTTATGATTTTAGTAAGAGTTTGAATGCAGTCATCAAAACAGACTTTGTTTTCCATCTGAGGCAGTTTATAAGAACCCACAAAAACCATGTTGGAACATTTGATAATACCTCTATGCTTACTGACTCTATGTCTTTGAATTCAAGGGTGATTTTACAGTCTCCTGCTGCATCAGATCTTAAGTATGCTAGGACTTCTCCACCATGCTTATTTTGGTTGGCCCGCCATAAGGTGTAGTTGTCAGTTGTAAACTTGGCATCAGGATAGGAGTCATCGAGTTTAGTCTCTGCCAGGAACAGCGATGCGACAAAATAACGTCTTAAAATGTCTTGAATCTGCTCATACTTTCCTGCAGGACTATTAATATTAAGATATCCACAGATCAATTGTGAAGGATGTGTTCTGACTTTAACAAACTCCTGCCAGATTTCGTAATAGTTAATTTGGTCTTCCTCGTTGGATTCACATTTGTTTAGGCAATGCACTGTTTCAGGTATTTCGATCCTGATAAAATTCATATTTATCCTTTCAGCATCTGATGCAGTTAGTGTGGTGTTATATATGACATATTTGAAAAAAGTTTGCATTTTGGGACATAACCAGGATGACAATAAAGAAGCTTGATTGCCAGTTAAACATTTACCTTGACATCTAACATTACATTGTGTGCAGATCACAAGTTTCTGATTTTTGTCGGGTTTGTTTACTGCAAACCAGACAGGGGAATTCTATAGGCCAAGGGTTTGAAAACATGTCACCGAGGATAAGAATTCTCAGTATTAAAACATATTTTTCAACTGAGCCGTGTCTGAGGGATTTGTCGCTGTTTCTGACAAACAAAGGAAATTTTGGCGGGTACAATTTGCACAATAAACAACGTCTTAAAATTGTTCATAGTTGTAACTGGACTTACAAATGTCTTCTATGGATGTTACAGAGTCATCCGTAGAAGCACTTTGATGAGTAGACGGTGTAAGTCTTCATAACGTCGATGTGATGTTCAGAGCTTCTATACAATGAAAAGTCCGTTCCGCCATTGTTATTCACATTACATCACACATTCGAGATTTCTTGAACGCCCCACCCACAGTTAAATTTTTATTAGGTAAAATATTAATACATATTCACATATTATCATATACAAATACAAATAGACAAAAATAAAACAGTAAAACAGCAAAAGAAAACGTCCCTCGCGAGAATTTTCACTCAGATGGATACGCCCAATGTATTTTGAATAAGAGCCAAATTTACCACTGAAAAAACATTACCAAATTTCTTACATAAAATATGAAAAAAAAAATCTGTAATGTTAGATAAACCTAAGCTGTAAAGTTATATGAGTCTTCTTTTGCTTAAATTGATTTCAACTTGAGGATTAATTATGACACTGGTTAACTATAGCTATCAGCTTTCATTTACTATAATCACTGTGATGATTATGAAACTACTTTACTATATAGAGTGAATTATTGATGGCTATGGTCCCAAGTTAGAGTAGTACGTTTGACACTATTGTGACTTAAAAAACTATGATTTCCTATAATATAATATAATAACCCTGCAGTTTTGATTAGATATGATAATTTTAGTTTACTATAATATTTTACTTAACATGTAGTTTTTTAGGGTAAATGAATGACACAACATTAAAAAAATAATGCTTTGTATTGTCAAATGGACAAGCTAAGTGGACTGAGATTGATTTTTCCCAGAAATACAAGGGTTGATCCAAAAGTAATGTCACAACTTTGATAAAAATTGCTATAGATTGACGTAAAGTACCAAAGTTATACATGATGTAAGCATTATTTATTTCTAATCATACATAAAAAATTCAAAGGAATATAATGTATACTTTCTGAAATATCAGATTTTAAACATTGTGCGTTTATAATAGTCGCCGCAACTAAATATATAACGTCATATGAAGGATACGCAACGTCATACTTTTAAGTGTTTACTATGGAATCCGGAAAAGGCCATGCAGTTCACTATCGCATCATCACACCATCGAGGTTTTGGTTGATAATGCAATGACACGATAATGCGATGACAATGGAGCGATGGTACGATAACGATTAAGTGATGGTGCGATAGTGCGATGACGATGAAGCGATGGCGCAATAATGCGATGATTATGGTGCGATAGCACGAAGAAGCGATGTTGCGATGACGCAATTTTGCGATAGCGATGACACGATGGCGCGATGACGATGGCCGTGGGTACAATGACAATGAGGCGATATTCACTTTTACTCTATCGTTTTATCGCACCCTCGTAATCGCATTATTGCGCAATCGCATCATCGTTATCGCGCTATCGCACCATAGCTCCATCGTCATTGCACCATCACTTATATCACTTATATCATTATCGCAACATCGTATTTTCGCGCCATCGACCTATTAGTCGATTATCAATGGTGTGATTGTGAACTGCATGGCCCTACCCGGATTCCATAGTTTTCCCTTTATTTTAAAAAAATATGTGTGAATGGCAAACAGTTTCACCAATTCCACTTTTTAAAAGAGTTTTTGGTACAGTAATACGCTCCAAATTTTATGATTAAGCACTCTGTCAAAAGTTTTGAACAGTAGCAAAAACAGACTTAGAAATTCACATATATGCATGTCACTCTATACATCTGTCTTTTTCACGTCAGACACCATTGAACTTTTCCGTCTGATCTCCTATATTTCAGTCTTCTTGTCCTCTGCTGATCATTCAGTGACCGATCACCCGCCCAAAATTGCTGAAACCATCTATTAAGATGTGTCTTATTTACATTTTTTTATTCTGTAAATCTGATTAATGAACGTAACTGTCACTTGTGATGATTCTCATATTTTGAAGCAACAAATACATTACAACTCGTCGGTCCGTTTTTTCCCATTTCGACAATCTTTTTGTTCAATCCAACAGAATTAAAAAAAAAGTTTATGATCGCAAATAGCAATGCCGTCATTTAATTTTCAATTAAAGACTAGAAAATGACGAGAATTACGTCTAAAAAATTGGGAGATTGGGTACTTTTTAGAATCTTTTTAATGTGTTTTTCTTTTTCATACAAAAAAAACAAAAAAAACAACGCGGGTATGTTAAGGCAGCACATGGACCAGAATTCGGCGAATTAAGACTTTTTTATAATTATGTAACACTAATAAATCGGAAAAGTCAAGCATAAAACTTTTGCTTTAATTATGCATTCTATAGACTTCAATTGGACTTATACTACATGAAGCACTTCACCACGACGTCACCACGTGACGTCTATAATTAGAAAATATGCCTTAATGAAAAAGTGAAAAGTTCAACACTACCCCCGGGGATAATTAATTTCAATTTGTAATAATAATTATGTAAAAACCTCTCTGTACCATGAAAAGAGCTGCTAGACTCCTACTGTCCTATCACAGAAATAATAATTCAACACTTTCTGACGAAACCTTCCCAAAATTGTTACATTTTGTTCATAACATCGAAAAAAAAATGCATTAATTCCCATAAACCCTACGATTCTAGCAGCACTTTCCAAAAACAATAGAATAAGAACTTTAGATAGAAAAAAAAATTAAGTTTCAAAGTGTGCGGCGTAGTGTTGAACTTTTGCATCTTATTTGTTACGAGCGACAGAGGAAAGGCTGATCGGGAAGTAAACACGTTCCCTGCTTTAATTTTACGAAGAAATTGTTGAAGTATATTACCATACCTTATTCATAAGCTTTATTCCCACATGAATCACACATGATATTAATTCTAAATGCTTTTAAACTCCGATTTCTTGTGTTTGTTTACAAGTATACTCGTTACGTTTCACTTTCACTCTGCTACTGCATGATCAACAGTTATGACGTCACGGGTTTGGTATTTAACCCCTGTGATAACTACAGAGACCCAGAAACGACAAAATTCTGTTTGTATTATGCCTCTGCATATTTTGATTAATTTTACGACCTCAAATCAATCTTAGATATCGAATATAATAAACTGTTATCTCTAAACTTCACGTCATGTAGCTTACTATGACGTCATATCATATAGGCAAGTAGAATATTTGGTTGTAACCTTAACCTACCTGCGCGTCAAAATTTCAATGTAAATAACATTTAAATTTGTGCACGTTGTGATATATTGTATTTGATAATGTGACGCCAAATATAAAAGATATGGACACTGTGACATTACTTTCGGATCAAAGCTCGTAATAGAACAAGTGTAAATAATTATAATAATAAATGTCCATTTATAGCTGCTGAACTATTAGGGGTGGAAAAAGAAGATCTAAGGAAAGGCTTGATTAAAAAATCCGCAACTGCAGGTAACTTACTTAACTTTAATCACAAATTTTTCACGGACTTATGAAAAGTATATTTACTTCGATTACAAATAAATTTAATTTTTGATTTATAGGTAGCGAAAATACAAAGACAGAAGCTGAAGTTAATAGAGATGCACTAGTAAAGCATACATATGATAGATTGTTTGGATGGGTAGTAAATAAGATTAACAAAAACCTGGATCCGAATAGAAAAAGGTTTGTATATTAAGTCATATTTTTAAAGATATGTAATTTTTTATGAAACTTTTTACTCTACTGTGGATGGATATTAATGTTTTATATATATTTCATTAGACCATAAACCGTTGAAAACAAATAAAAGTAAAATAATAAATCAACAATAATATACAAAAGCATAACCTATGATTTATAGTTGAATTTATTATTAGATCATGTTTCACCTGTGACAGACGGAAATTAGTCTTTCATTAAATGATGAATTTTTCTTTTCCTTAACGGTTTTTTTTCTCAAATTAAATCTCGTTTAAATAAAAGAAATCTTAACTATCGACTTAACAAAACATGAATAGTGAAAAATGCCTCATCCGACAACTGTGAGATCTGTCTAATTTTTAAACTTCGAACATTTTAATATCATTTTTGTTGTTATTTAATAGTACGTTCTTAACATTATAAAATCCAACACACTCTCTAGCCCGACACAAAATCTGTCTCCCAGTGCAATATGTAAATTTACATTGATGTCACAGGAATGTTGGGAAGAAAAACATCGGAATTTTGGATATTCCAGGATTTGAGAAGCTTCAGGATAACAAATTTGAACAACTGTGTATAAACTTTGTAAACGAGCAACTGCAGGTTTCCATGAACCGAATCCTCATTGAGGAAGAAAGGCGAATTTATCAATCAGAAGGAATTTATCTAGACATTGGAGACATAAGTAAAGGAGATTCATGTGTGGTTGATATTTTTGAAATGAAGGCAAGTTATTTCATATTCTTTAACTTTAAACGATATAGATACAATCCATTTGAACTAATATAACATCATATAATATTTCAGTGGATAAGATTGCACTATTCAATCAAATGAATTACCACTAAAAGGTCATGAAAGCTAACTTAAATGGCAGATTTCTACTATTCAATCATCTTACAGTAAACATTCAAGTCTGTAAAAAAATATTTTAGGCAATGTATCAAATCTTCAAATATATTATCCAATGATATTCAATAGACAAAGGGACTGTGGTCAGCACTTGATGATATTACAAAGCTTGGGAATGATGATAGAGAATTTCTGGAAAAATTGCAATCAAATGCTAGGGACATAGACAAGCATCATAAACTGAAATTTACCAGAGGCAAAGAGACTAAATTTAGTATTCAACACTTTGCAGGCGAGGTAAGCGATAAAGGCCAAAAGAAATATAATCATCCTATTTACTGAAACATACCTGTGATATATTTTCTTTTGCAATACATATTTCAAATACAAAATTTCATTATCAAAAAAGGACATTTTTTTTAATTTGCACATCGATATCCCCTTAAACATAAATTTCTTATAGATTTGGTATAACTGTGATAACATTCTTGAAAAAAATCGAGATAAGCTGACGGAAGGACTAGAAGATGTCATGAAGAAAAGCAGTGAAAAAGTGATACGTTCCTTGTTTTCCGCCGACAAATCAATTACTGGCACATTCTCTGTGTAAGTTTACGTGCTGGAAAACAAGAAAAGATTTTGTTAAGTATATAATTTTAATATATTTATCTACATGAAGCTTTTAATGACAACATTTAATTATATAATCCTTAACTTGTCAACATTGATAGTTTGCTTTTCAGAATAGTGTTTAATTAAGAACAGACTAGAAATTTAACATTCTAATTGATTTTTAGCACATTAGCAATGGAACAATTCTCCAGCAAAGAAATGTTGACTGAAAAACAGTGAGTACATAATATATCAAAATCTGATGGAATTAGTCATATTCATTGTATTTAAATGTGAAACATTGAATGAAAAGTAAAATTCATATTAAAACATTCAATTAATACGAGCACATAGAAGTACATAAGTGTTTAATTAATTACTTAATAAAATTACATATAGTATTTAATTACTTACAGAGACCATATCGGCAAAAAGGGAATTCATGGACGAAAAAAACACAATACAGTCGTTTCTTTCTACAGGGTATCCTGAAAATCTTACACAGCATTCTATCTGATTCTTGTTTCAATGACTTTTAACCTTCGAAATAATTCAAATAACAATTTTCCAAATGTTTTATTTTAAAAGGGATTGATAAAAAAAAATTATAGTAGTATTTCTTTTAGTATTCCTGGAATATACCTTTTTTTATATGTTTAAATAAATATTATATATTTTTTAAGCATTGACTGGATTTGGTTCAGTCTCTGTTTGATATGAATATTTCTTTTTTACTAAAAGAACTGGAAAGATAGCTACCGTCTTACGAATACTAATATGAAAATACCGGGGTATTTATATTTTATTTTTGTGACATGCAAAATGTGTTTTGCATTAAATCTAGGAATCGATAAAGGTATTAAAAAGAAATTTGAATGAGGCAACACCACATTTTGTCAGGTAAATAAATTTTCTGTATGAGATAAATATTTGAAATATTTGTCACTTATTATTGTCGTTTGTTAATGAACCACTGACATATTATTGCCTGAAATCAACATTTCAGATGTATTAAACCAAACGAAGAACTCCGACAGGACTCTTTTGTCGTCCCATTTGTCATGAAGCAGTTGAGATACAATGGCATATCTGAGCTCTCAAAAATAAGAAGTAATGGATTTCCTGTCCGGATAAAATTCGCAAACTTCTTTGAAAGGTTGTGATTTTTTTAAGATACCTAGTGTTATGAAGATTTTGCTGAAGTCATTGTGAACATGAAAAACAAAAAATATTGTTGTTTTTACGTTTAACAAGTACTTTTTTCAAATCTATCTTTAAATGTAATAACGAAGTGCCAATTAACACTGGAAAAGTGAATAAAATATTTTATTCTAAATGCGTTTAAAATATTTGTTTTTCGATAAAAGCATTATTTAATAAATGGCAAAAGTGTGTAAAATATTGTTATAGAAATATTTTTAAACATTAATGCAACGTGCGTGACAATTTAATTTACTTTATTGATTTCTATTTTTAATTTATATATTTTAGGTACCAGATGATTCTGCCTATAGAACACACAAATGAAACGGGAGATTGTGTGAAAACTATTATAAATACTTTACTCAACTCTCGACCTGATTTGAAATTGAATGGGTGCTTTAAAGTCGGAAAGTACACGGTAAAAACTAATTTCATTTTCTTGAACAAATGCATGCATGGAATATCCTTGAAAAAAGTTTTATTTCAATTTTGAAGTACATCTTCAACAATTCCTTGTAAGTAGGTTTTTCCAGTTTAAAAAATGTTCTGAATCTCATCAGAATAAAAAAAAAAGGTTCTTAAAAGTGAAGAACAGGAAGAATTACACAAGCTTTCTCTTTATATATTTTTTTTCAGAAGTCAGTAATATTTCAGATAGATTTAGGGTCCTATAGCCTTAAATATATGTAATGATTGCCATAATAAGTCAATCGATTTTTAGGTCACCTGAGTAACTCAGGTGACCTATTGCTATCCGTTTTCGTCCGTCGTCGTGTGTCGTGCGTCGTGTGTTAACATTTTAACATTTTCAGCTTCTTCTCTGAAACCACTGAACCAATTTCAACTAAATTTGGTATACAGCATCTATGGGTGAAGGGGAACAAAATTTGTGAATTTTATGGTCCCCGCCCCCCTGGGGCCTGAGGGGTGGGGCCAAAACCACTAAAATTATTGCAATCTTTAAAAATCTTCTTCTTTACTCCTGGACATCAAGCAGGCAAACTGTTGGCATGAATGTAATGAGCATTGAGTCCTCTACCAAAATTGTGAAATTCACGGCCCCAGGGTCAGGGGTTCTAGTGCTAGGGTGGGGCTATATAGATTATATGGTGAAAATGCATGATTTCTTTGAAAATCTTCTTCTCTGCTCCTGGGTATTAACTAAACTAACTAAGTACATAGTTATGATGAGCAAGAGTGCCTCTTCCAAAATTGTGAATTTTATGGCCCCAGGGTCAGGGGTTCTGGTGTTAGGGTGGGGCACTATTGGTTATATAGTGAAAATGCATTTATTCTTTGAAAATCTTCTCCTCTGATTCTGGGTATTAAATAAACTAACTAAGTACATAGTTATGATGAGCAAGAGTGCCTCTTCCAAAATTGTGAATTTTGTGGCCCCATGGTCAGGGGTTCTGTTGTTAGGGCGGGGCTATATAGATTATATAGTGAAAATGCATGATTTCTTTGAAAATCTTCTTCTCTGCTTCTGGGTATTAAGTAAACTAACTAAGTACACAGTTATGATGAGCAAGAGTGCCTCTTCCAAAATTGTGAATTTTGTGGCCCCAGGGTCAGGGGTTCTGGTGTTAGGGCGGGGCTATATGTATTATATATTGAAAATGCATGATTTCTTTGAAAATCTTTTTCTCTGCTCCTACGTATTAAGTAAACTAACTAAGTACACAGTTATGATGAGCAAGAGTGCCTCTTCCAAAATTGTGAATTTTGTGGCCCCAGGGTCGGGGGTTCTGGTGTTAGGGTGGGGCACTATTGGTTATATAGTGAAAATGTATTAATTCTTTGAAAATCTTCTCCTCTGATTCTTGGTATTAAATAAACTAACTAAGTACAAAGGTATGATGAGCAAGAGTGCCTCTTCCAAAATTGTGAATTTTGTGGCCCCAGGGCCAGGGTTTCTGGTGTTAGGGTGGGGCACTATTGATCATATAGTGAAAATGCATTAATTCTTTGAAAATCTTCTCCTCTGATTCTTGGTATTAAATAAACTAACTAAGTACATAGGTATGATGAGCAAGAGTGCCTCTTCCAAAATTATGAATTTTGTGGCCCCAGGGTCAGGGGTTGTGGTGTTAGGGCGGGGCTCTATTAATCATATAGTGAAAATGCATGATTTCTTTGAAAATCTTCTTCTCTGCACCTGGGTATTAAATAAAATAACTAAGTATATAGTTATGATAAGCAAGAGTGCCTCTTCTAAAATTGTGAATTTTGTGGCCCCAGGGTCAGGGGTTGTGGTGTTAGGGCGGGGCTCTATTGATTATATAGTGAAAATACATTAATTCTTTGAAAACCTTCTTCTTTGCTCCTGGGTTTTATGCCAATGATCTAAGAATATATATTTATGATGAAGAAAGGTGCATCTAGCAAAATGGTTATTTTTTTATGCCCCCCCCCTCCTGGGTTGGGGGGGGGGGGGTACAGAGTCTGAAAATAAAATTAATGCTTTGAAATCTGCTCTTAGGTTTTAATCAACCATTTTATGATAAAATTTGCAAAATTTTGAAATATGTGGCCCCAAGGTCAGGGGTTCCTTTGGGATGATGTGCACAACTAGTTATAAAGCGGAAGTGCATTTTCTCTTTGTTACTCTGATCTACCTTTTGGTATAAAGTAAATAGAGTAAGCATGCTAAGTCTATAATTATGATAAGCAATGGTGCCTCTTTCAAAATTCAATTGTGAATTGCGAATTTCATGGCCTCTGGTTTAAAACAGGAACCAAATTTAATAATTTGAAAGTTGTTGCACAATACTCAGGTGACCTATAAGGCCCGTGGGCCTCTTGTATAAGATAAGGTGCTAATTTTAAGAATTATGTACAAATATTTGTAAACATTTATACAGAGAGCTATATCTGACAGTTGATTATATATTCAAAATCATTCAAAAAAAAACAGATATCTATCTTTTCTTTTTGAAAAAAAAAAATCGCTTATTTTTGGATATTTAAGAAAAATTCCCTTAAAATTCAATTTCTAAGGTCATATTAAACGTTTTGTTTGCCCTCTCTCAACGCAGGAGGCTATATAGTGTAAATGTATTCTTAGACATGCAACCGACAGGACAATACATTACAAAAATAATATATAATCAAAAGTTTTGCCCCTCTCCTCAACCAAATTAATTCTTTTAAATTCATTTTGAAATCCAATAGCGGCGTAGGTATCACATACATGATCTTTATATACTGTTGTTAGATTACGATATCTTTACAGGCATATACAATATATAAAATATATCTGCAAAATAGGTTGAGATTTCATACGTGTACGTGTACGGCCGGTACGTTGAATTTTGGAATTCCCTAAATTCCTTGCATATTACATTATTAATTTAAGCGATGACATGTTTTCTACAAGATTTTTAAAAATTGTATAATTACATTTTCATGTAAGTAAAAACGTGTAATCTTTATAATAAAATTATTCAATTTATCTGTGAAACTTTGGTTGTTGTACATTTAAAAGGATATTAATTTTCATTATCACTTATTTTAACAATGATTTGTTTGTTATCTAAAATTAAACTGACGTAACAAAACTTAAAAAAGAGAGGGTTAAGCATTTGACCGTGTAAATCAACTTGTATCCTTGAAGTATTTTTACAAATAAGGGTGACTATCATCGTGTTCGGTTAAACAAATTTCACGTGTTCCAGAACGTCATTTCAACATGTCACTTTACAGTCTTTTGTAACAAATAGTTCTATGACTTTAATACGAAAAAAATATATATTGTACACAATAAATTCTCAACTTCATAGCAAAAATCCCCTAAAAAACATATATTTTATAATTTGAGATTAAGAAGCTACAGGTTCTTACCTTAGTTTACTTATGGATGTACACATTGTGTACTGCTTGTAGAATAACGCGGTATGCAAAACTGACGTAAATAGCAGTAAATTAGAGGATTTCCCTAGGTACAGTCCCTGAAACGTTCTACTTAAATGTCGAAATAACGCTGGAAAAATGGGAACGAACGCTGAACGAACGCAGAGCGAACCGTGAGTGCATAATGTGCGAACGCTGTACGCAACTTGGTAAATGAACGGTGAACGGCGAGTTAATGCATAACGCGAACAGAGCGCAAATGCGAGCGCAAAGTTAACAGTGAACGAATGGTGAATTATTTATTCGGAATTTATCTAAACTTTTCCTTGCATTTAAACTATTCTATTATATTGTATTGTATTATCAGATGTTAAATATGAATAACCAGTTAATAGATGAATAAATAAATACTGCAGTAAATAAGAAAATAAAATAAATTTTACTACCTTTTCCTAGGAATAACGATATATACCCATTAAAGGTAACGTATGGTCAGAATTTTAATTACCGTATATAAAACTGTACCTCTCACATAAAAAGAAAAAAACTGCATCTTATAACACTCACTACTGATAACAGCAGTTAAATTTAATTTTGATTGTTTAATTGGAGCAGCATTGGAGAAACTTTATTATTGCCGCTGCTAACGTAGTGGAGGAAGATTATATGCTAGATGTATAGAGTCAATGTGTACATAAAATTCCTAATATCAGAAGTAAGCTAATCCAAGCAACTGTTAATTTATAGCAGATAGATCAAAATCCTTCTTGGACACATTTGAACTTTCAAAAAGTTTGAAGTAAAATGAAAGAAAATTCACAATCTTTCCACCTATTTTTTTTAAATGAAGTTAAATACCGACCATTTAATGGCTTTTTATTACTAATTCCTTCTTTATTTTCCTGAATTTTGAAACACAAAAAGCATTAGAATGTAAAATTATATTTCCTTTTTTGCATTCAGATTCAAAATATTCAGTCTTTTACCTATAAAGACTGAATGATAATTTAACGACGAAATCAAGGTGAACGGAAAGTGAACGAAACGAAGAGCGAACGGTAAACACTTTGTGAACGGTGAAAACGAGCGCAAGGTGAATGGTGAACGCGAAAGTGTGAACGGAAAGCAGACAGTGAACGTATGCTGAACGAATGGTGAGCGAAGGTAAAATGGGAAAGTAGAACCTTTCAGGGACTGTACACGTTCTCTATTGTTGAAAGAGAGACACCGATCGCAGTGTACACGTACTTGTTACACGTCTTTAAAACCTGAACAGACAAATAACAAAAATCGGTACGTACAAATATATACAGTTCCTGAAACGTTCTACTTTCCCACCTGAACAGTGAACGAACGGTAAACGAACGCTGAACAAACGCAGAGCGAAAGGTAAGTGAACTATGTGCGAAGCTGAACGCAACTAGGTGAACGATGTGTGATGTGTGAACGGTGAACGCAGAGCGCGAACAGAGCGCAAATGCAAGCGCAAAGTGAACAGTCAACGAACGGTGAACGCAAGATGAACAATTTATTCGGAATGCCTCCGATCTTTTCCTTACATTGAAA